TTCCCAAACAGTCTTCATTATGGATGTTTCTCATAAATCTGTCCCTGCTGTCAATGATTCCACCCCCCCTTCATTTATCAGCACTTGTTTGGTAAGGTTTTAGAAAAAGGAATGGGGTTGGAGGGGCAGAACCCCACTTCTAGCCATTTCACAATGTCAGTGAACTATCTGTCCTGCTGTCTGCACTTTTTTACCCTCTGCCCAGAGTAGATGCATCTGATAGAAAAGGGCAGAAGCCTTCGCCATTTCCTTTTTTATGCACTCAGAATGGAAAACAAACAAACAAACCCATATAGATGCCAAGTTTTTACACAGAATCTTTTTTGACAGCCTGGAGCTGGGCAGGCTGCAGGGGCCAAGACCCCTTAGGTCCTCTAAGCCTTTCTGTGAAATTTTCAGTTTCATTGAAACAACAAGAAAAAAACAACAACAATATTATTCTGTGATTCTTTCGCTTAAGAAAGCACAAGAGTAAAGGTGCCGGATGCACCTCATCTGCCTGTTTTGAGGGGGCTAACACTGTCCCAGTGGGATGAGTGTGTGAGATTTAATTCTTAAATTGTATTAATATACAATTTTATTTCTCTGGGATCATATGAGTAAATGAATTTAGCAATAGTAAGTACATTTCTATACCACTTATCAGTGCACTTAAGCACTCCCTGAGTGGTTTACAATGTGTAAGACAATTGCTCTCAACAGGCTGGGTACTCATTTTATTTGCTTGATCATAAATCTTAAGTACAATAATAAAATATCAGGCCAAACTAAAATCCAAAATTTTCCTTCTACTGGTATATCTTAGCCCCCCAATTGTATTTAATGGGATTTGGGCATGCATAGATTTTGATATTCAGTGGGGAACTGGAACCAAACTGCAGCAGATATCAAGTGCCCACTCTACTTTGGCCATTGTATGTATAATGTGAAGGGGAATCACAGAGCTGCACACATATAGTGAAAATTTGGGTGAATTCCCTTCCCACCCAACCAACTGCATGCCATCTCATATGGTTGTAGTGAGGCTGTGAAACACTGCTTCAGTTTATTATAGCAGAAGCTAATAGTCATGCAAATATTTAAAATGTGTTGAACAGACCCAGATTTGTCCCCCAGATTTTAAATGTGGTACTATATCCCAAAATTCTGAATTACAGTCCTTTAGGGTAGCTGGCATTGCTTGATTGTTTTGGCAGGCATCTAATACAAGATTTTATAAGCTGGCAGCTGTCAAATACAAAACACTATTGCACAGCAGCTGCAGATATTGATCATTTGGAGTCCCTCTTAGGAAAATATTCAACAGCAAAATGTGGCTGAGCCAAAATGCTTTATCTTTTGCAAACAGTATTATTATAATCAAAAGTCAAACTCCTCTTTCAACAGTGATTTATAAACAGTCGTAAATGACAGAAATAGTCTCTAACACTCCAAGAAACATTGATTTCAATTGGTTTTGTTTAACCTCATGTGAATGTACAATGTAGAGTGCAGTGGTTTGAATACTGGACTATGATTATGGAGGCCAGAGTTCAAATTCCTCCTCAGCTATGGAAATCCACTGGGTGACCTTGAGCAAGTAACACACTCTCAGCTTCAGTGGAAGGCAGTGACAAATCTCTTCTGAAGAAATCCTGCCAATAAAACCCCATGATGGGATCACCTTAAGGTTGCCATAAATTGGAAATGAGTCGATGGCACATGACAGACAAACAAAATGTGCAATTATTTCACCTTCATCCATGTGACCAGCTAAGGTCAAGGAGCATTTCTCCTGCTCATTTTATTTAACCTCAGTAGTGTGTCTAGCCAAATATATTTGTTTATATAACATTGTAATCCCATCACCTTGACTGTTGGATCCTGGAAACCCAGGAACACTCAGAGATGGAGAAAGGAGCTCTATCCAGAAATAAAATAAAATAAAATGGGGAGAGAACATATGCAACTGCAGGAAGCATCTCAACTTTTTAAAAAAGATGGCAATATACTCATTTAAAGAATTTCTCTTCCCTCTAGAAAGACCGCCATCATCTCCAAATATCTAGCAGGACAAATCAAATTAATAGAAGAATTCTGGGGAGCAAATTCAGTTCACCTCTAAATACTGTAGAGGAATCAAGGCAAACATATATTTAATTGGCACGCAGCTAAAGTGGGGATTGGCTCAAAGTTTGAACTACAATCTGGGTCTTCTCGATTGCCACTCGGTGTTCATTCCATTGGGCTGTAGTGCTTCAATTGACATGAGCCAGTCATTTTCTGTCGAAAGCATTTGATTTCTCCTGCGTTGCAGCACCTGCTGTTATCTAGCTAAATGTAATACTACAGGGTAAGAGTGTTGAGCAGTCAAATGCTCTGATTGGCTAAATATCCTTAAGTGATTTTAAAATGAGAGATGGAGGGGGAAAAAATGTGTCAGGGAAAAAAAATATAATGAAGTTTGTGGTTCAGAATCTTAAGCAGTGTTTTCTGCCAGGGCTGTTTGGTTTCCATAGATTAACTCAGCCCTTTGGAACACTTGCCAGCCTATTGGAAAGCTCCCTCAAGCCAAGCCATTTTATAATTAAGTGATAATTGTTTTTGCTGGGGAGCACATGAGAAAGATAAACAGCTTGAGGAATCAATAAGCATCAAGGTCACACGCTGAATTATTTACCAAATTGTCTGCTATTTATCGCTCAAGTTTTCTGTGCAAGGGGGAAACTGTATCTACTTTGTCAAAAGATTTAGGAATTACTTCTTCTTGGATAGTAAAATAAATAAATAAATAAATAAATAAGTGCCACAGGGTCAGGACAGATGCGATCTTAAGTGAGGCATCCTTAAGCTCCAAACCATTTGGTTCCTGTATATAATATCAGTAGACACTAGAGTCAGAATCATCCAGGCCATAGTATTTCTGATTTCTGTCTATGGGTGCAAAAGCTGGAAAGTGCTGAAATTAGGAACAAAAATGACACATTTGAAATGTGGTACTGGAGGCGAAGTCAACAGATTCCATAGACTGGTTTAAAAAAGAAAACTAATGAATAAATCGTAAAGCAAATCAGGTCTGAGCATTCACTAGAATCCAAGATGACTAAACCGAGGCTATCATACTTTGGACATATCATGATATGATGTGACTCCCATGGAAAGATGATAATGTTCAGCAAAGTGAAAGGCAGTAGGAAAAAAAGAGGATAGCATTAAAGGTGAATTGATTCAATGAAAGAAGCCATGGCCATGATTTTGGAAGACCTGGATAGGGTGACCATGGGTCAAGGTTGACTTAAGAGCAAATAACAAAAAAATGTAATCACAGAATCATAGAATCATAGAGTTGGAAGAGACCACAAGGGCCATCCAGTCCAAACCCTTTTGCCATGCAGGAATTCTCAATCAAAGCATGCCTGACAGATGGTCATCCAGCCTCTGTTTAAAGACCTCCAAAGAAGGAGACTCCATCATACTATGAGAGAGTGTGTTCCATTGTCGAACAGCTCTCACTGTCAAGATGTGCCTCCTAATGTTGAGGTGCAATCTCTTTTCCTGTAGCTTGAGGCAATAATAAGTATTACTTATTAGTTCCATGTATATCCCGTTTTTCTTCCAATGAGCTCAAACAGGCTCTACTTCACATCACATTATTGTCCCAACAATCTTGTAAGGTAGGTCAGGAGGAGAGGGAATGATGAGCATAATGACCTGAATCCAAAGTTAATCCCAGCTCAAGTAGAGCTATTGAATCAATAGAACTGAAGACAGATGTTAGATGATCACTTTTCCATAGGCTCTATGGACTTGATCAGTGTCATTCACAAATTCATAGCTCAAAGGATGCTTGAATTTGGATATCTGACTTCTCAAATTAATATTTTAATTACTATGCCACACTATCTCAATGAGGGCTCTTTCACTCTACACAGTTACAGCACTCTGTAAGCACTGTGCTTCCATCCTACAAAATCCTGGACAAGTATTCAGTATTCTCAGCCAAAGAGCTCTTTGCCTTACAAAATTACGAATCCCAGGATTCCATAAGATGTTGCCATGGAAGTTAAAGTGGAATATACTGCTATAATTGTAGAATGTCAAAGAGAACATGCACCACAAAAAGAAGTGGTGAAGAGGTTCAAAAAGGCATTTTTTTAAAAAAAAAAATCGAATTCTGCCAGGTTGCAACCTCTGTCAGGTTCTGGGTTTTCTGTCATCACTTTACCTTTCCATGTCCTTGCCTGAGTATTTGTGAAATTCAGACTTGGCAACTTTATTCCTGTATGATCTGCAAGTTTTCAGGGGGTTCTGAAATATTAATCGTGGGCAATCTGGGGGGTGCAATGGTGTAAAACTTTCAAATGTGCTTTGCTTAGGTTTTGAAATGCCAATGCAGTGTGGTATCTCTCCCAGTGTGGTATCTAAGCCCCTTTGTGAGAGCTGGCAATTAACAAGATTGAGGATCAATTTGTCAAGTTGTATGATGATGATATGGATGGGCTTCCCCCTCCCTCTTTGCCAGCCTTGTAGCTGTTCACAGTTTGCTTGCAGCTATAATCTTTCCAGGTTGTTGTTCCCATCACTGTGTATCTCTCTGTATTGATTAAGTAATGTCACTGCAAGGCTTCTTTTTAGATAAAATAGGTTTATGGAAAGCAATGTGATGGATATACACACACAGTTCTGGCTGTTATTGTGTTATTCCACACAGAAGGCTGGAGGGAAGATTTAAACTGGAACAAACAGTCATTTTCTCTCTGTTACTTTGGAAATGAAGGCTTTTGGCTCTTAGGAAGCTTCCAGAATAACTATGGATCCGAGTTACTATAACCTTTACCACCTGGCAACACAAACATTGGCTGAGGCCATGCTCTCAGATCTGTGCAGAACTCTCAGTCTCTATTTAATCGTGTCTGTGTGTTTTAATGGCAACCCTGTTCCTGTCCCACCTTTTTTCATACCAAGCAATGGAACTTTAGTTTCTTTCACACTACACAGTTATAGCACTTTTCAGGGGGAGAACCAGAGTGATGTAGTGGTTTGCACATTGGACTAAGAATCTGGAGATCAGGGTTCAATTCCTGCTCGAGTACAAAAACCCACTGGGTGACCTTGGACAAGTCACGCCCTCTCATCCTCAGAGGATGGCAATGACAAAAGCTCTTTGAAGAAACTTGCCAAGAAACTCATCAAAAATGACTTGGAGGCACACAACGGCAACAACCTCATCTGGCATGGGGCGAATCCCTATTCTGTCTCACAACTGACCAGGAGCACTTCCATCTTGCCTGGATAAAGTTTCAATTTATTTGCCCTCATCCAGTCCATTAAGAAAGATAGATATTGGTTTGGGACTGAGGTGGAAAGGAATAATAGAGTTAAGTATCACCCGCAAACTGATGATACTGGACTCCAAAACTCTGGATGACCTCTCCCAGCATTTCATGTACATGTTACATAGCATGAAGAAGAAAACCAAGCCCTGGGGACCCCAAAAGTAAACAGCCAAGAAGTCAAACAGGACTCCCCCAGCACGACCTTCTGGGATCATCCCTTCTGCCAGGAACAGAGCTACCTTAAAACAGTTCTTCCAAGTGCTATTCTAGCAAGATGTCCCAGAAAGATACCATGGTCTATGGTACTAAAAGCTGTTGAGAGATCCATTAGAGCCAACAGGGAAAGAGCCTTCTTGTACAGTTCCCACATAGGTCACAGTTCTCAGCACAGGACTTTGTGTGTATTTTTCAATTGCATGCCTTTTTAGCTGTGTGCACTTAAAAATCTACCTATTATTTGCTTATTCATTTCCTATTTTCTCCCAAGCTTGGGAATCATAGGAACCTACCACCTTGGGTAATGCAGTAAGTTATAAATATTAAATTACATATTAATTTAATAAGCCCATTAAAACATTTCAAAAGATTGTATTAATTTAAAAAATAAATTAAAGCATTAAAAGCCTAGTCCCTTCATTTAAAGGGCTTTGCCTGGTGGTGGAAAGACAATTGGGAGGGGCTAAGTTAATCTCTCTGGTAAGACTACTGTATATTGTAGAGCAGGCACCAAGAAGGCCCTTTCTTAAATCCCTTCCAAACATACCTGTAAAGTAAAGAAAACCACCAGCACAGAATGGTGTGATGATCTTACATCTAGTTTGACTGATGTCAGCTGAGTAGAACCAACGTACCAAGCTGCTATACCTCATTGTATGCACATCCTGCCCTTCTTCAACAAAACTCAGGGAAAATTGTTCTAACCTGTTTGTGAGCTTTCAGAAACATTTTCCATTAAGAAACAGAATGCTAGTCCAGATGGTCTGATCTATGAAGGCAATTCTTAGTGTCTTATTATCTTATATGTCTTTTTCTATCTTTCTCTTTTGATGAAGCTTTCTTTTGAAACACACATGCTTGTGATCACATTTAACTGAAGATTCAGCTTTTGGATCATTTTTTAGCCTGTCAAAGAGGAATATTCAGTAGCAAATGACAGGGAAAATTCACCATAGGGTAGTTTTTGTTTTTCAAAGTCAACCATGCACATTCACTCAAAACTCAGCAGTGATAATAAGTATAGAAAAGATACTGGTTCCTAGCCTCACACCTACCTGTCTTTGTCCTTTGTGATACACAAGCAGACTGACACCTAAACAGTACTAATCTTATTTCCAGTTCTATAAAAAAACTCTCTGTCCCGATTCCCAGATCTAATTAGGGTTTCTCTATACTGGTGAAAGACGCCATACTCACCCTGAAGCAGTCCTGATGGCATACACTTACCTACAGGGAGGATTTGTGGTTTTTGCCCTTAACCTGACTTTGCTGTGAACAAAGCAAAATCAGGGAAAATCCCAGTGTTTCCCAGAAATAGAAGAGTGACATTGTGGTCTTTTGGTGGATGAACAGCTGGACATGGACCCAACCCAGTTACCCACATGCTAAGTGCAGGGAAACTTAATAGCCAAGCCCTCCCTCTTCCCTATACTGAGCAGTGCAGGGAAAGGGGATGCCCTGCTTTTGGAACTGCTGCCACCACTTCCTCATGGACAAGAGCTCTGTATAAAGCTTTTCCTGGCATGCTTCTGCCTCTGCTGAGATCAGAAACAGGCTCCAGCACACTGAGCAGGCTTTACATGGAGCTCCTGCCAAAGAGGAAGCAATGGCAGCTCTGAAAACAAGGGATGGGCCAGCAAGGCTGATGTGATGTCAGTGCATTTGACCCAGGTCCACAATGATGTGGTGTCTCATCTGATTCAGCCCAGTGTGTGTGGTCACTATCATGGTTGGTCCAGGGCCAGTCTGGGACATAATGCTCTGAGTTGGTCCCAGGTTATTGACTGGTGTCAATGCACCTTGAGTGAATAGCTGAGGAACACCTACTTGTCTCAGGACATTATCACATGGGGTAAAAAAGCCAGCTTACCTTTCCTGAATTGAATTCTAATTCGGGCTGCATCCACATATTATCATATGTAAATCGCCATCAAATTCACTGGCCGAATACAGCCCGGATGTAGCCCAGGTCCCAGGCACACTCAGCCAGCCCTTTTTCAAAATCAGGAGTTTTCTGACTTTAAAAAATAGCTGCCAAAGGACTCTGGGGAACTGGGCTGCATCTCGGCTGTATTTGTCCAGCAGATTTGGTGGTGATTTACATATGACAGTAGCCGGATGCAGTTCGAATTAGAATTCAATTCAGGAAAGGTAAGCTGGCTTTTTTACCCCATGCAATAAGGTCCTCAATTGAGTAGGCGAGAAACTTTTTAAAAGGTCACTCACCATGGCAGGATATTTTGCAATATTTCACTTAAGAAGGGGCTTACCTCAAAAGTTCTTTGAAATATCCACAATGAGCAGCAGTGGTTCTCAGCCTCTGCACCATGCAGATATTTTGGATTTCAGCTCCTAGAATCCCTAACCATTCACTATGTTGATGAACTTTTGAGAGCTGAAGTCCAGAATAAGAGGAGGGCTACATTTTGTGAATCAGTGGTCTATAGGCTTTTCTAAACCAGTTTCCCTCTCCACTCCATGGACCCTAATCTCCCTAATCCTTACCCTCAACTTTATAGAAGGAACAATGATGGGTGGTGCTCTTTTGGGACTTCAGTAGGCCTTATGTAACAACAAGTTACCAAAGGTCTCTGAGGATTATAGTTTACTAAGATTTACAGATGTTTACAAAGAAGTCCGCTTGGAATGAGTGAAACTTATTTATGAGCCAAGCCAAAAGTCAGTGGTATTTTGACCTCTGAACATGAAAAGCTCCTTATTTCCAAACCCTCTTTTAATGACCATCACCCATTTTGAAACATGGCAATATTGCCACTTGTGATTAAAAGTCACAGCAGCTGCTTCACAAGCATTGCAGTATCTAGGATATTTGTAGGCAGAGTGAGAGACAGCTGGCTTCTGATCTGTTGGGGGAAAAGAGGTCCTGGACTCTTCCCCAGCCCCAAATAAAGAAAGTTCTGTGTGATCACTACTGGCTGCTTCTTGATGTGTGCATCCCAATGTCCTTCACACCAAGGACTGATGTCCTTGCCAGTCAGTTCTTCCAGTTTCTGAACACATCTCAAGAGCAGGGAAAGTTTCTCAGCTAATGAATTTCTCATAAAGGAAGGAAGTGGTTCACACACACTCAGTTATCCTCCTGAGAGCTGGGAGTGCATTAGTTATCAAACAGGGGCCAAGAATTAGACCTTGGCATGGGTTTGCTTTGCCCTAGCTTTCCAGATATATTTTTATGGATCAAGTGATCTCTGGCAAGTGAGATTTAGGAGATGGTGTGTGAATCTGTAATGAAACACAAACCAACCCTGAAGGTAGAGTAGAGTGAGATGGAATGGGAGACTTATCCAAGAGGACATTCTCAGTGAAGCTGGCGGGTGAACCTATGTCTGATGCCCTCCATTGCCTTCCTCCTTGCTTCCTTTTCTTCCTCTCTTTCCTGCTTAAAAAAAGAAGTGTTTTTGCAGTATAGGAGGAAAAAAATAGTTTGTTTTTTTCCTCTTAAAAAAAAAAAAAGCCCTTCATATGAAACAGAATATCTAATACACGCACACAGAGGCTGTAAATTTGCTTGCAAGTAGGAGAAAAGTCAGAAATGAAGATAGGGTTTTGCAAAATGCAGGCATGCCAGCCTGAAGACGACAAGCTCATGTTATATTTATGAAATTTCCCCTTCTCTCTTTTTAGTTGGATTTGAGTATAGTTTTTGTACATTTTGAGAAGGATGACCTGCACCCTCCCCACTTTTTAAACATTCATGTTCCAACATCATAATTAATTTAAATGAGGAAAGCAAATCTCCTGCAAAATCTATCTTTGCTCATGTACATTCTTTCTGTTTCCTGGAATATAAGGCAGGTTGGCCATTAGCTAGTGTTTTATCAGGTCGATATAAAGCAGGTGTCTTCATTAGCTGTCTTTAGGAAGCTGCCAAAGACCCACTAGTCATGACTTACTAGACCTCCAAGTCCAGATAGCTGAATCTAGAGAATCATCACTATTTGCATGCTCCACAGAGACCCCAATACTTTTTCTCTAGGAGAGTGGTCCCCAACCTTGAATTTCCAGATGGTATTGGACTAAAACTCCCAGAAATCCTGATCCTTGCCTGTGCTCATTCGCATTTATGGACATTCAAACCATCTTGGGTCCCAAAGTTAAATAAATTATTATTATTATTAATTATTATTATTATTATTATTATTATTATTATTATTATTATTATTAATAATTATGACTCTATAGCACTGTGGAAAATACAGTAGCCCAAACCATGCTCACTACAAGAAGAACCACAAGGCAAAACACAGCCAGGACCATAGTGACCTAGTTCTTATAAGTGCCTGGAATGAATATACCCAGAATATTTCAGAAGCAATAGACCCTCTGTGTCATGCCCTTCCCCATTGAGTGCTTTTTTGAAGAAGAGGAAAAAGGAGCACACTTATCAGTGGAAGAGGTTCATTAGATGTCTGAAGACCAGCCAGACTTTCCTTCCATTCAACAGGTAACTTCAGGATCAGAGCAGAAGGAGGAAAAGGAGGAGGAGAGTCCCCACTTCACAGTGAAAGTGGAAGGCTCA